GAATTGGAGATCAAAACTATGTTTAGAGCCTTCCCTGGTGGCCTCAGAGTTGAATCTCAGCACTATAACCACTACTGTGTGAGTTCAATCCCCCTGGCAGGGACCTGACCCACATGGCCAGCCAACTCTCCTGTCTCACACACTGCTTCCCTCACGGTTATTTCAATAAATCCTCCTGCTCTGCTCCACAATCTCTCTCTGATGAATCCTCTCACTACTACATTGATGGCCTACACCCCAGTTCTTCTACACTAAAATAAATATTTTAAACAAAAATTAAAAAAAACATGTTTATCAATGAATTCTTCAAATAGAGATTTCCCCACAGTATTTTATTACAAATAATGGTTCCAAACAATACAATGAAATTATATTCACTTTAAAAACAGAGTTAATGGAACCATCCTGAATTCTGTGCCCTTCATGGTAGGATTAAGAAATGAAAGATAAAAGAGAAGAAACTTTCTTCCCTGGTCTCAGGAACACAAGAGATCTTAATGTATAAAGTTAATTCTGTCCTATCTTTAGTGCCCTTGTGTCCAAGCTGAGCAAATATTTACCACTGTTCTAGTTTTCGATGACAAAGTTCACCCAGGACCTTTTAAATCTCAGATTATTTAACCTTGACATTTCTAAATTTTCCCTAGGCAAAATCCAACTGATAAGTTAGATATTACAAGAAAAGCAAAGAAGTAAATGAATCTATATTAAGGCATAAATGACTGTTAATCCATACATTTTTATGCATTTAATATTTAATATTTGTTTACCTAAATTAATCTATGCTTCTAAATTGACATAATTTCAGTAACACTAGTAAAATAAACTGAAAGAGTATTAAAATGTAGGGAAATCCTTCAAGTTGAGGGAGAAATAGGTGATATCTCCTTGATAGTCTAGCCACAGTTTATATTATATCATTGTTTCTTTTCATTTTTTTCTGTTCTATAAACCAAAGATTACTGAAAGTGCTAAAAATGACTGTTTGCCATTGATTTGTGTTGCTTTTTTTTTTTCTTTTGGTTTCTTGTTCAACCAAGATGAACTGCAGAATGACACTGAGTATATTCCATGAGATTCTTTAGGGGGTGCTAAGTAAATGTATTTCAGTAGCCCCAGATAAATTAGCCTCAATACCTTATACTTTTCAAGTATATCCTATTCACTCAATTATTTGTCCTCTTCTTTTTTCATCATTAATTATCTATCTCCTGTGATGTACTGGAGGCTCCCCAGTAAATAAAATGATTCAAGACTGTCTTTATACCCAAACATCTGATCAATAAACCAGTGAAGAATGTGGATCAATAGTCCCTTATACTATAGTGCCAAAATTCACATCCAAAGTGTCAAGCAAGCAGCACAGAAAATGGAATAGCCATTTATCCAAAAAAAGTCAGGAAGCTTCCATAAAGCATGTGATCTCTGGGGTAGATGATACCTGTTTATGAATGTTAGTGTTCCTGAATGAAAAAAAAAAGAAGAAAATGTTTAGATTATACAAAACTGAATACAAAAGGAGTAGACAGGCCCTCCCTAGTGGTGCAGCAGTTTAAAGCACAGATCCAGGAAGCTATAACCACTTCCGCATGAGCTCGATCCCCTCCTGCCCAGGAGGTGATCCACATGGCGCGCAGACCTCTCCTGGCCAGCCCACTGCTCCTCTCAGCAGTGTACTTTGATGATCTGCCTAGTCTGCTCTCCACCCTGTCTCTGGTGAATCTTCTCACCACCCCTGCGCCTCTGGCATGTACCCCAGTTCTGTATGCACAAATAAATAAATCTTTAAAAAAAAAAAAAAGAGTAGAACATAAGTTGAGAAATAACTCTCATTTCGACCCACCTGTTCTCATAAAAGCTGGCTCCTTGAGTGACTTCCCAGCACCATTTTGCAGCCAGATGGACTCTTCGTAGGTGCATGTGTTTGTTCAGCTGTAAGCACAGCTATCCTGGGAAGACCAGGATATTCCTGCCCCTCTTCTTTCTCAAGACACCTTGCTGCAGTTGACTGCACAGTCATGTTCCTTCTGAGACAGTCCCCAGTGTAGCAGTAGTGTCTTTGCTGAGTGCCTCTGCTCAGCTGGACTGTTCTTGCTGTGCCCACTGCTGACCTTTACCTCAAAGTCAACCTGTGCCAAGTCCTGAGGTATTATCTTCACCACATTCTCATCCTTCTCCTGAGAATTCATTGATGGACACTTATTAGGGCAAAATACGTTGATTTTTTTTTTTAAGTCACATAAAAGGATTTGTTGTATTATGTGAAGTATCAGAACAATTATTTGTAGGAGCCTTTGTGGAACACATTTCTGAGGATCTGATGAGTCCTAGATTCTTAAATAACTGTTGCTATTTTAAGCCTTAGCAAAAGATATCTTCTGTTGATAATTTTGAACTAATCTAGTTATTTGACATGACTGTTATACAAATAGCTCATCTCTTTCCTCAAATAAAATAAAAATGGAAATACAGTATGAACCAGTAATACCACTGCTTGGTATTTACCCAAAGAATCTGAAAATTCTAATATGAAGAGATTTATGCCCTTTTATGTTTAAAGAAACATTATTCATGATAGCCAAGTCACGGCACCAACTTAAATGTCCGTCAGCAGATTACTGGATAAATAAGTTGTGCAATATACGCTATGGAATACTACTTACTGAATTTTTATAATTGAAATAGTGATTTTGGAGGGAAAATGGAATCTAGACATGATTATGCTAAGTGAAATAAATCAGAAAGTGAAAGACAAGTAGCAGATGGTTTCACTCAGTTGTGGAATATAAATAACCATAGAAAACAAACTGACAAAACACTACAAAAAGGACTTTTAGACTTTGAAAAATGTAACGGGGAGGAGTGGGGAGTCCTGTGTTTTAACACTGAAGTTTTGGTAGCGGGTCAGTGCAGCATGCTCGCAGGTGAAGTTGACTCCTAAAATTATATAGTTATGCAAATGCTGGGTAGATCACAAAAATGCTTTTTAAAATCTTTAACATAAAGAACTTGAATACTTGTTAATTTCTGTTTGTAAAAATACAGATGTTATATTTTGCTCCATAAACTCATATTTGTTTTCATTTTTTCATTTTCAACATAAAAAAGAAAATAAACAAAAACCATAAAAGTAAAAAACCAAAAAAAAAAAAAACAAAAAAAAAAAACCCTTATCTCACAGTTAACTCCATAAATAACTAACGGGCACAAAATCTTTAACATAAAGAACTTGAATACTTGTTAATTTCTGTTTGTAAAAATACAGATGTTATATTTTGCTCCATAAACTCATATTTGTTTTCATTTTTTCATTTTCAACATAAAAAAGAAAATAAACAAAAACCATAAAAGTAAAAAACCAAAAAAAAAAAAAACAACAAAAAAAACCCCTTATCTCACAGTTAACTCCATAAATAACTAACGGGCACAAAACAGAGACAGGGCCCTCCTTGGTGGCACAATGGGTTGAAGCACAGCACATGAAGCTGTTGCACCACTGCAGCAAGGGTTTCAGCCCCAGCCAGGGAGCTGAAACACATGGCGCAGCAGACCTCTCCTGTCTCCCGGCTGCTTCCCTCAACCATCTGTGTACTTCAACCATCTGCCTGTTCTGTTCCCCATTCTGTCTTTGGTGAATCCTCTCACCACCCCCACCTCTAGCCTGTTCCCCAGTTCACATATGCATAAGTAAGTAAATCTTTAAAAATAAATAAATCTTTAAAAAAAAAAAACAACACAGATAAGCCCTTTTGCCCCTTGGAAGATAGTCAGTGGTTATAGCATGTAGCAGCCTAGAAAAATACAGTGAGAATGCTGTTCCCTAAATCAGGCCTTCCCTGGTTCCTGTCCACCTTAACTCATTTCCCCACAATGGCCAATTTCTCAGTCAGCTAGAGACAGCTAACCTTACCTCTTGAGGGAGGACACTAATAATTTCACTTAAGTAAAGATTGTGAGATGAAAGAAATGGTTCAAAGAATAAGATATAAGTATGTCACACTTGTGATGTTAATGACAAATTAATTAGCCTTGTTTACCTCAGGAAAAAAACTCTTCTTTTCTGAAAACTGACTTAATTCACTTGTGTTTTCTGAGATTTAAATTCATGCTAGAATATGATGACAAATACATATAACAGCTCTGGGAAATTAATGACATGCAAAACATAACTTGAATCACTATTTTCCAAATAACTGACAGAATTTGTTTATAATATAAGCTCATTTTTCCCTTCCACCATCCCTTATATCCACTTGACCTTCTTTCCTGTTAACCTCAGTGTCCTCACTGCTTTCATTAATGTTTGCCAATTTTTTAAGAGTTTTACTTTGTCGGGGCCCTCCTGGTGGCACAAGGGGTTAAAGCACAGCACTATAAAGCTATCTGCAGCCACTGCAGCAAGAGCTGGATCCCCAGTCATGGAGGTGACCCACATGGTTCAGACCTCTCCTATCTCACCTGCTGCTCCCCTTAGCAGTGTATGTCAATCAGTCTGCCTGTTCTGCTCTCCACTCTGTCTCTGGTGAATCCTCTCATTCCCTCAAACCTCTGGTGGTCTATATCCCAGTTCTTATATGCATATCTCTTTTAAAATTAATTACCATTAAATTAATTACTATTAAATTAATTATTGTTGATAATTACTTATTAAATAAATATATCTTTTTTTAAAAAAAGAATTTTACTTTGTTAAATAACTCAATTGGTAGAGGCTAGAATTTGCTTGCAACAAAGAATGCAAAAGATCACAGTATTTTATTCTCATATGATTGATTCCACTTTCACTTGTCTGGGGAATATTTATCTTTCCAAGAAAATAATATATTCTAACGTTTAATGTAAATGTATTATCTTAGACTTTGTCAGTTCACAGTTTTTCTCCAAAAATATGAGTTGATTTTTTTTTCCTAAGACTAAAATTTAATGTGTTTATAACTGAGAATCAAATGATTTGCTTGCAACTGGAAGTTCAGTTTTCTCTTACTTTTTTTTCCCCCCAGGTGTATTTGGCATAGTGTCTGACACTAATTAACCCAGGAGATCAAAATGATGCTCAACTCTTCCACCGAAGACGGTATTAAAAGAATCCAGGATGACTGTCCCAAAGCTGGAAGACACAACTACATATTTATCATGATCCCTACTTTATACAGTATCATCTTTGTGGTGGGAATATTTGGAAACAGCTTAGTGGTGATTGTCATTTACTTTTACATGAAGCTGAAAACCGTGGCCAGTGTTTTCCTTCTGAATCTAGCACTGGCTGACTTATGCTTTTTACTGACATTGCCTCTATGGGCTGTGTACACTGCCATGGAATACCGCTGGCCTTTTGGCAACTATCTATGTAAGATCGCCTCAGCCAGTGTCAGTTTCAACCTCTATGCCAGTGTGTTTCTACTCACGTGCCTGAGCATAGATCGCTACCTGGCTATCGTTCACCCCATGAAGTCCCGTCTTCGTCGCACAATGCTTGTAGCCAAAGTCACCTGCATCATTATTTGGCTGCTCGCTGGTCTGGCTAGTTTGCCAACTATAATTCATCGAAATGTATTTTTCATTGAGAATACCAATATTACAGTTTGTGCTTTCCATTATGAATTCCAAAATTCGACCCTCCCCGCTGGACTGGGCCTAACCAAGAATATTCTGGGTTTCTTGTTTCCTTTTCTGATCATTCTTACAAGTTATACACTTATTTGGAAGGCTCTCAAGAAGGCTTATGAAATTCAGAAGAACAAGCCAAGAAATGATGATATTTTCAAGATAATTATGGCAATTGTGCTTTTCTTTTTCTTTTCCTGGGTTCCCCACCAAATATTCACTTTCTTAGATGTCTTGATTCATCTGGGCATCATACATGACTGCAAAATTGCAGATATTGTCGACACTGCCATGCCTATCACAATTTGCATAGCTTATTTTAACAATTGCTTGAATCCCTTTTTTTATGGCTTTTTGGGGAAAAAGTTTAAAAAATATTTTCTCCAGCTTCTGAAATACATTCCCCCAAAGGCCAAATCCCACTCAAACCTATCAACAAAAATGAGCACGCTTTCCTACCGCCCCTCAGATAATGGAAGCTCATCCTCCAAGAAGCCATCCCCATGCTTTGAGGTTGAGTGACAGACTTCAAACCCGTCGAAGAATTTACCTTATAAAACAAGGAACAAGAAAAACATTCCTCCATAGCACTTCACTGCAAAGTGAATGTTAGCTACTTTTTTTTTTCCAAATTTAAGAAGAAAATGGATTGTGTGGTCTCTAGCTATTTTTCTAAATCTTTGAACAAAAGCTTTCTTTTCCCTTTGCAGCAAAATTAAGCAAGGTACATTTGCATCATTTTGCATTACACGGATAATGGCCACTCCAAGAATGATGTCAAAAGCTGGATGAATGTGTTTGTTTGGAAAGTTTCACTGGCACAAATACAGTCTCTTTAGTCTATTCTTGTTCTCTTATTTTTGATCTCCACATACAGGTATCTAGAATATTTTAAATACCTTTAGTGCTGCAACAGGAGATCAGAGGTCAAGATCATGCTGCCCACTTCCCAGTGGGGAGTTAAGATTTGTGCTGTTTAGCCATTAGCGCCACTGGCACATTTGCCACCACATGTTTTGTTCAAAGTCTCACTGAACAGTTGTCAGCTCTCAAACTTTGGTGAAATTCACCCAATGTCTTACAGATGCATACTGCCAAAAATTGCCAGCTAGCTGGTTTATTTGTATTGTGCTCTTACTAATGTCACATATAAAAGTGAAATTACTTGTAAAGGTGTTATTCTGTCCTCAGGTAGGTGTGTCTTCCTAGTTATATTTGAGAAGTATACGTGTTTTGTGGTGCAAGAGATTATATATATACGCTTTACTGTTTTAGAAAGGAGATAGCCTACCTACCTATGTAATGTGTATATCTCTAAACTGTTGTTTAAAATCTGACAATTATATTTACATTAAAATAAATAACTTCATGATAATGTACTTACTCTCCATTTCTTATAATAGATGCTGGGTTCATTTTAAAGCAAGATAGCTGGGATTAAGTACAAACATTTCATTGAAATGCAATTGGTAGTTTAATACTGTCAGTGATAGATTTTGTATACTGTCACAAAGAACATATTTTAATCCACTATCTAACATGGAATAATCACATAGCTTTGAATTTTCCAAAATTTATAAATAATTACAAAGCATACAAAGAAAATAAAACATTCCTTCTGCTAAAATAATACATTATTTTATACATAATTTTAACAGGACATGTCCAGTTATACGCATGATCATTATAGGAAATTGAAAAAGCATTCAGGAGAGCATTAAAAGGTCATGTGTAGCTTCTCCACTGAAAAGTAGCATTGTTTAACATTTGTATGGTCTACTTTTTAACAGTGATGACATATGTGTGTATATAAGTCATGATATTAGGATCATAATGCACATTATTTTTCACTTTTCACTTACATGATAGCATAATGGTTTGTTATATCATTAAATATTTTCCTAAGATATTTCAATAATTATAAAGCATACAAAACACAGTCATACCTTGCTTGTTTAAATAGTCCCCAAATTAGATGTATTTAGTTTTAGTTTTATTCCAATTCCTCAGTATCATAAATTGTATCTCAATGAACATACATCAATCTGATAAATTCCTCATGATACACTCCTAGAAGTGTACAGTTGAATATACAAATATGAGCATTTTTAATATTCTTAATACATTTTGTCAAATATTTTTCATAAACTTTGTAACAGTTTACAATACTGCCAACTACATATAAATATATCTCAAGGCTCAGCAGCATTGAACATTTACTAAATTTAATCAGAAAAGGGAAATTTACTGTCAGGATTCAGCTGTCACATGCCAGAGCAGGGATAAAAGCCTTCCAAAGAAAGTGCTCTAGCAGCCCTCCCTGGTGGCATATTGGATTAAAGCACAGCACTGCAAGTAAGCCGCTTCAGTGTGAGTTCGATCCCCAGCCCCAGAGGTGATCCACATGGTGCTGCAGACTGCTCCTCTCTTATTACCCACTGCTCCCCTCAGCAGTGAACTTTGTCAGTCTGCCTGTTCTGTCCCCCCACACTGTCTCTGGTGAATCCTCTCACCACTGCTGGTCTGTACCTAATAAGTAAATAAAATCTTAAAAAAAAAAAAGTGCTCTAACAATTTCTGCACCCTTAGACAGTGCCTCTTTTGGAGCCTGAGGTATTCTTCTGGCTCAATGAACAGCTGTCAAAGGATTGGAGGATTGGGGTGATGTGTAAAATAACTGGTGAGAGGAGTAAATGAGAATGGAGCCCTCAAGAGGCTTTGATAAACTGGGCAGAATTCCACCAATCAACCTAATGCATGCACGCTCCGGAGCATAGAGTTATTTTGTGACTTAATTTGTTTACATGTACCTTCTATTAATTCCCTCATGTTTTTCAAAGTTCACTAATGTAATGTTACTCACTAACACCAAAGGCCCTTTGCTATTTTTATAATCACCACTAAAAAATAAATTCTAACTCATTCCAAATTATAGTGCAAACTTAACCTATTTTAAATCCCTCCAAGTTTTAGCTTCATAACATTTGTTAATTCAATTGTTATGCTAATCAAAGTGATGATGTAGTTCAAACTTGCTGAACCATTTGATAAATTATAGCTGATAAGATTTCTGGTAGATAATTATATTTGGATAGCCTGCACTTCATGTATTTATTAACTCGTATGAATAATCTGTTCCAAGTCTCATTTTCATTTTACTTTCATCAAGTTATATTGTGATTTCCCATCCTATTTTGTGAAAAGATATTGAAAACTTGATGATTAATGTTGCTTTTTCAGTGAAGTCAACTTAATATTGAAGTTGAGACTCTGCTAAAATGTTAGGAAAAGATGTCATAACTTATTCTTCATGAACATATTTGGAGTTAAAATAGAGAGCTTATTTTTTGTCACATTTTAAAAATTTACACAAAAAGGACAGTTTCTCATTGGATCTAATTGACCAACAGATCTCCAGGTCAACCATAGGATCTAACTGACCAACAGATCTCCAGGTCAACCTGAGGACAGTGTAAAAATGTCAAATGAGAAGTAGCTTAAGTGCCAAGCCATGGAAAGAGTCAGAGGAGTGAAACCACAAATCCTCCATTCTTTACCTCAGTATAGTAGGCCAATTTTTACCAATATTAGGGAGCAACATAGGGAAACAAAGAAGAGAATACACATTCAGATAGGTCACAAAAACAGTAGGTGAAGAAAAATATTCCAGAGACTATTAGATACTGCTATGAAGAGTGAGATTCTTGAAGATAGAAAAGAAACATTATAAAGAACAGATGAGATGGGAAGCAGCTGGGGAGTGGTCAGCACACTGGAGACAGCAGGCACCTGAAAGCCAGGCACAAACCTCAGAGGAGATCTGATGTACACACCTGTAGCTTGACAGGACTATGTTGACTCTATTAAATTTTGGATTAATTCTCATTAAACAAAAATTATCTTAGATTACAATTTCTTCAAAAAAGCTCTTTTGGGTTATTTTGCCATTTGCAGCAACATGGATGAAGCTGGAAGGGATCATGCTCGGTGAAATAAGCCAGAAAAGCAGAAAAATACTGGGTGGTTTCACTCTTGGGAGGAATGTAAGGAATCAGGGGGGAAAAAGTAACCGTAATAAAGTAAAAGCCAAAATCAACAGGCAGCTATTAACCAGAGACATTCTGCAGGGGGGGGAGAAGGGAATAGGATCAAAACTGGGGTGGGGAGGGCACACGGGACTACAGTGATGTATCATGGGTGAAGTGGTGGTGGGAAGTCCGCAGGGACTACAACCCAGATGAGAAAGCATACACTACACTTTACAAAGTGAAAAATGATATAAAAGTGTATAAAATTAAAAAAAATACTATATAAAGCACCATTTATAATCCAGTTATATATGAATTAATTCTAATATTACCATCTGGGACAAAAGAAACAAATATAGACAGACAGATATCTTAATTTTCAATTAAGTTTTCAACCATGTGTACTAATCTTAAACTCAGAATGGAGACTCTAGGCCTCCTATTCTTCATCCAAGCCCCCCATTCTGGATTATTTGTGACCTTTCCTCCTTCCTTTCTCCTTCATTCTTTCTACTCTGCCTGTATTCCTTTGTGACTCTCACCTAAATCCTTATTCTGAACTGTTGTCTCCTTCCTTTTTTTCCCACTTTCTCATTCCTTTTCCCTTTTCTTAATTCCAGCCTGGATACATATTCTTCCAGTGTACCTCTTCCTGCAACAAGCAAACTGACTCTTCCTTAATGGCTTGCTTCTCCTAATTCTTCTCTGCCCCTTTTTTCTTCATCCTAAATCCTGTTCTGTACTCTATCAATGCAAAATAGTTTCAGGACTAGGCTTGCTTTGAAAATTCTAAAGTATAAACCCACCAATTGGTAAGGCCTCATATCTACAGAAATTTATATACTGGATAATTCCCTTCTTATACCCAGGGTATTCTGTTGAATGTCATGCTAATCATCTGAGCATTTTATGGATCATCTGGATTCATTATCTGTGTAAGTACTATATGCTCAGATAATCCTTTCAAGAGACTCACTGGCCTTTTGCTAAAGCTCCAGCATCTTACCAAAGCTCTTTTGCTGGTGCATCCCCTGACTCAGCTTTACTAATAAGGGACACTTAGAATGTTCTATCCTTTCCATTCCCCCATCATTGGAGTTCCAGTCGGGGTCTATCATTGGGACAGACAGACTCTTTTGGTTCTAGGGTTTCTAGATCCTCCTGGCAAAAACAATGAGCCTCTTCACTAACCTTCCCTAAAACCATTCACTACTTATCTGAAATTCAAAACACACATAATTGGATTGTATATCCTCCAGATAGGTTAATTGAAGGCAAAAAGAGAAAAAAACAAATTAACCATTCTATCAGGGCTCTATCATTATGGAGAGGTGGCATTTCTCCAATTCAAGGGGCCCCAGTGGAAGAGGGAGGGAGTATCTAGCCAATAGTGTCTGGCAAGTTGCCTCCTGTGATGGTTTCAAAATCTCCAATATGCCTCCTTCTCCTCCTCATTGTTATTATGAGAGAATTTTGACTTACTTTGTGCTATCAAATGAGTATCTGTTCTAAACTTAGTTTATGGGGGGCAGACAGAATTTGTCCAAGCAGACTCTCAGTTGAAATAAGTGGAAGACTCACCTCTTCTTGAAACAATAGCAAAGTAAGAAATGTTTAGACATGCAACTGAGAAACCCCTCAGTAGAAAACATCTGAAGATGAAGGCTGAATATGTCCTCCATGTATATGCCTACAGGACCTCCCATAAGACCAAAATCAGGTTCCATAAACCAAACTTTATCAAATAACCCAAACCAAAATACAAAAAGAAGGCAGAGGAGGAGAAGCAGAACTGCCTAAAGTTTGAACCCATACTTAAATCAAAACAGAGAGAGAACTCTAAATTAAACCCAAACTTCCCTAAGTTTGAAACAGTAAAAAATCTTGTCAAGTGTCCTACAATGGCAATACACTATGGTGTCCAATGCAGGAAGTCAACCATGGGTGTGATGAGACTACATTGGGGCACTGAGCTGTTACAAGGCAATATCTGGGAAACATGGATGACTCAAGTAATGAGTCTTCATTCATGCTCTTCAGAAATAGAGACAAGATCCAAAAAATGAAATTTTAAGAATGACAAGAGGAATCTGACTTCTTGAATATGGTAGCCCTGGGGATGAAGAGAGAACAAAGAGACAAGATTGATTGGCTGATATGACCTACCACAGCAAAACCAAATGATCGGAGGTATGAGTTGAAGTCAGATGAATAAGCGAAAATAGGCACATACATGTTCAGTCTTTTGTGGCCAACATGGCTGTTCAGACTTGCCTCTAACTCCTGGTACTACCCCAATTTAGG